TCATAAATAAAATGAGGGTACTAGATAATATATAAGTTCCCTTGCAGCTCTGGATCCTATGGTTTATGATTTTAAAATCCTCATCTTTTCATAATGTATTTTTTTTCTTATCTGAGGTCAGTAAAAGACACATATACCATAAAGTATGAAGATAAAACTGTAGCAAAAGATATTTTAATAACTATTACATTTTATCTTGCTAACCAAAGAATAGAATCTCTGCTCAAAGCAATACTGTATAGCCATAATTAAAGATAGATCTAAAAAAACATGGTAGCTATTTAAATCATATCAAGAAATAGTCATTGTAAGGTTTTCAAAGTCACGTGGGAATCTTTGTTAATTGATGTCAAGTTGAGGGTGGGGAACAGCAATAAGGACTGTTAAAAGAAGATTTCAAAATCTTACTTTTTTTCTTCTTTTTTTTTTTGACATTGCATGCTCTATCCCGAGATTTGAATTCTGTTAATTTAATGAATTATGAGAAACAAAATCATTGGATATTCCAAATTGAATTCCATATTGGTTAACATGTACAATTTTCCTTGTGACTTTCAAGCCTACTCACTTTCCTTCCTACAAATGATGGTTGAGTATCCACTATCTTCAAGGCACTTTACTAAGCACCATGGAAGTTATAAATAAAAGCTGGGGAAAATATGGTTCCTGCCCTCCAGGCAGTTATAATCTAGTAGTAAAGATAAGAAAATAGTTCATGACAGTGTGATGTCCTAAGAGATACAAAAGATTGAGAGGAAAAAGAGGGCATTCAGTTGAAGGATCATGAAAGACTTCATTGAGGAAGTGGTATCTGACATGGAGTTTGAAGTATGGGGAAAATATTGGCAGGAGGACATTGTGAGAGACATGCATCCGGAAAGTCCAAGACATATTCAAGAAATAACTAACACAGTTTGACTAATGTGAAGGATACGTGTGGAGTGAAGATCACAATACAAACTAATCCTAGTTTTCACAGTGACCTATGAACTTGAGAGTTTCTTTATCATCTGGTCATAAATAATGAACTGGGGATAACCCTGGAAGGTAGATGCTGTTATCTCCATTTTACAATTGAGGAAAGTGAGGTAGAGAGAGGTTAAATGATTTGCTCAGGGTTACACAGCTAATTAGTGCCTAAGGTAGGATTTGAATTCAGGTCTTCCTAACTCTATGCCCAGAGCCCTTTTCACTATGCTACTTAGCTGCTGAAGCTATAGCAGGAAGTTAACTGCTCATTCATTGTATGAGGTGTAGCACCAATTTACTGCTTAGCACTTCCTGCACTCCAAAGGACCATACTCAAAGTTGACAAGAGCTCTGAAAGCTATCAGTCCTGCACCTGCACTTTTGCACTTGCATAAGCATACACAGCAGCAGTGCTGGGAGCTGCTCTGGGTAGAGACCTCATTCTATTCTTCTGGTTTCATTAAATGCACAAAAGGTTCTGTTGTGGGGGATGGGTAGCTCACTTCACCATCATGGCCTGCACAGCTTTTGGCAGAATGCTGAGGGCTCTAACTATAGCCTTTGCAGACCAGGTATAACCTCATCCACTCCAGAAGAAAGACTGTGGAATGTTTCCATTCCAGACAATGGTAAAAGCTCATACCAATACGAAAAGGATTAGAAATCTTTGTTCTATTCTCTCTCCATTTTACCCATCCTCAAAATTTTAGCCACTTGTTTATAATTCCTATGAAAAGGCAAAGCACAGTTCATACTTAGCCCAATATATTTTACAGATGAAATAATAACAAAAAGAGAGTTCACTGAGAGATAAGATTGTAAAGATAGATTTGGGTAACATTTCAGACAATAGCAGCCCGAGGAATTTGGACTTAATTGTGTGAGAGATTATAGAATACAGTCTATGGAAACTGGCTACTGATTACATGTAGGGGATGAGGAAGACATAGGAGTCAATGATGAATCCAAGGTTTTGGCCCTGGTAACTAAATAACAATGACGGATTTGCTATTAGGAAGTTGTACTGGTTGGATTAGATTATCAGTAGTGTTCAGCCCAAGCATTGAATGTGGTTGTTGGTACTGTTAGAGACAAGTGTTCCTTTAGATTAGCTGAGACTAAGGAATGAGGCAGAGTAAGAACTAATTTGAAGGGATATTAGGAAGGGTGTGCGTGTGTGTGTGTGTGTTAGGTGAAGAGGTAGGATAGTGAAGACCTGATATTTATAGGCAGAGAGAAAAAAAGCTGATAGCGAGAGAGAGATTGAAGTTTCAAAAGAGAAGTCTATAAGTGGTATGATATGACCCTCCTTAGCCCATGAGCTGCAAAGGTTAAGTGAGAACCACCTATCTGGAGTTAGTGTTTTCTACGATGAACCCCACTGTCTTCCAGTTGCTTATAGATGCTGTCCCTTAACTGAGAGGCCCTAGAAACTCCAACTATTTATATGTATTTATTTTTAAAGGACTTGCCAAAGAGGGATTCAGAATAGAACAAGTTATCTGTTGCTGAAAATAAATCTTGTAGATCCTATGTTAATTGAAAAGACAATTCCACGCCTCATTACTCTCCAAAGCCAGAAACACCCGTCAACACTTGACAACTGGAGGCCTAGAAATGGCCAACTAGTTTAAAATCATCACTATTTGCAGCTAAACAGAAGTTATCCACAAAGAAGGAGGCAAGGAGCGGAAACACAAGGTGTTTTTCTTTCAGCGTAATTATGTCTAGGGCTATTCTTCCCTAGAAATGTTTCTTGGGATTTTTTTTTTTTTGCTCTGCATGAGATTTCATTGGAAGCCCTGTTATAAGAAACAGTCTCTACTAATGTAGATTGGTAATTTGTCTGTAATTTATAGATTTGCCTGGAGCGAATATCATCCTCCTCCAGAAAGGTTAAGTGACTTGCATAGGGTCACATGGCTAGTCAAAGGCAGGACAACCCTGGTCTTCAAGCCCAGGTCTTACCGACTTCCAGGTGAGCACTCTATCTCCTGCAAGTAGTGTGACCTCTGTTTTTCCATTTTTCTCCTTGGAAAATAGAGCCAGGAATATAGAAGAGCTTCTTAAGAATGGGACAATTCAACAGGCTTTCGATGGCTAATAAAAAGAGGTGACATTTCACTTTTTTAAGCGATGTTGAGTGATCAGAGACCACAATATGGGCCAGGTGGAAGGGCCCCAGGGATGCACCTTTCCAGCTTTTGTCTGGATCAGATGGCTGGAGGAGAAGCTCTAAAAACTCACTTACTCCCTGAAGCTCTGGTCCTTACCCCTGCCCTTCAGGGCCGGCAGTCGGGACCAGAGCGGCTTGTCCCCTGGGGTGGGAATCCCCAGGGTTGCCTCTGCTGCTCTCTCCAGGTCAGACCACACGGGCCTCTCTCTTTTCATGGGTCCTCATTTCATTGTCATCTACTGTCATCCCGTTTCACTAGCCCTCTCCCAGGGCTAACCACTGGTCCTCTACTTTGAATGAGACTGGGACCAAAACCACCTCACTCGGTCTTCAATCTCCTGGTGCCCTCTGAGCTGCCCACACATGCTTCCAACTATTCATTATTAATAATGATTATACTGCTCTAATAATGACGATACCACAATCTTACAGCTCTTTACGGTTTACCAAGAACTTCTTTCACAACTGTGAAGTTTTTCTTTTAGTAGAACATAAACTCTTGGAAGGCAGAAACTTTTTTTTTTGTTTGTTTGTCTTTGTATATTGTTTAGTACAGAGCCTGGTACCGTCACTGAATACAAGCTGGAATCAGATAGCTTTACAGCTGAGGAAACTGACGCTCACAGGGGTTAAGTGACTACACAGCTTCCAAAAGGCGAGATCCGAATTCGATCTCTCCCTCGCCCCCCTGACCCTATCTTCTGACTCCAAGAGCAGCTCCTTTACCATCATGTTACATCCACAGGGTGGTTGTTATTATTAAAATTGTTTTTTTCATTTTAAACCTGCTTCCCTTCTTGGCGCCTCTGGTGCTGACAACGCGTTCCCTTCACCAGGATCTCAGAGGGAAAAGGCGGAGCGCTTCCCTCGGACCTCCCAACATCCTCGCCCACCCACCCACTTGCTTCTCCTCCACCCCCTTTTATGGTTTCAGGTCTTCTGTAGCAAGAGTTCCTTTTACGCCGGCAGGGGAGGGGGATCGAAGGGGGTGGGTGGGGGCAGTATGAGGGGCCCTATTATTTCTCGGGTGGGAGTGGCACAAAGGAGGCACAAAGTTAGGAGCCGCCCCTTAAACGTTCAGCTTTTGCTTGATGCTTCCTTGTGCTTTCTGGATGGAGGGACAGAGCTGGGAGAAAGTTTTTACGCCGCGTTGGGTGGGCATGGGTTATGGAGTCGGAGCTCCAGGCGGTTGGTGTTACTGGAAGGACTCGGGACGCCCAAGCACTTGTTGCGGCCAGTACGTGGTGAGGAGCATGGACATCTTGTTGGCTTTTTAATTCGTAGGAATTGTAGCCCTTCATAGCCAATTCACTGGTCCAGGAAAAGCAGCCAAGGAGAGGTCCAGAGAAGAGAACGAAAACCATGAGAGTCCAGGGACTCCGGCTGGTTGTCACTAAGTAAATGAAGAGTTGAATCCGTTCCCACGCTGCGCCAGGGGACTGTCTCTCCTAGGGGTTTCCAAGCACTGCAAAGGCGTTAACCCTGACTACACACTGGAACAGATACAGCTGCATCTCTTTAACAGGCACCCTGAGTCACAAATTGACTAAAGGATTCCCGCCACTAACCACAAGCCAGGCCCTCCCTCCCCCTCCTCTTTCTTTACTACTTTTCAGTGTCTCCCGCCCGCCCCTCTTCCTTCAACCCTTCTTCATTCCCTGGTGACGCTGACTCGTAACTGTCCAGCAGTCTAACCTGAACCCGCGGAATTGACAGGACTGTCTCTTGGGAATCCTCCGCTCCTCTCAACAGACAGGCTGGGGGCAGGGGAGGGGGGGCGCATCTCTCTCCCCCCCCTCCCCCTCTCTCTCTCTCTCTCTCTCTCTCTCTCTCTCTCTCTCTCTCTCTCCTCTCGCCCCTCTCTCTCCTCTTTCCTTATTCCCCACAGGTCTCTAATCCCCAGCATACAAGAAGTGACCACGCAGCAGGATGCAGCTGTGCAAAGGCCGGATGCTGGGCATCTCGGTGGCCATCGCCCACGGGGTCTTCTCGGGCTCCCTCAATATCCTGCTCAAGTTCCTCATCAGCCGCTACCAGTTCGCCTTCCTGACTCTGGTGCAGTGCCTGACTAGTTCCACTGCTGCCATCAGCCTGGAGCTGCTGCGGCGCCTGGGACTCGTCTCTGTGCCCCCTTTCAGCCTGAGCCTGGCGCGCCCCTTCGCCGGGGTCACTGTGCTATCCACGCTGCAGTCCAGCCTTACCCTCTGGTCCCTTCGGGGGCTCAGTCTGCCTATGTATGTGGTCTTCAAGCGTTGTCTGCCCCTGGTCACTATGCTTATCGGCGTCCTGGTGCTCAAGAACGGGGCGCCCTCCGCCGGGGTCCTAGTGGCCGTACTCATCACCACCTGCGGGGCAGCCCTAGCAGGTGAGCAGCTGTAAACCTCCCTCTTCCCCCACTGTATTCTCCTGGTATACCCTTCTCCAATTTACACATTGCTCAACCCTAAAGCCCCGCTCCTTCCCAACCCTTCTTTCCTCGCTGCTTTATCCCATTTCCCCCTTCTCCATTGGTTTCCCCCTTGGTGCTCCTCCAGTCTTTCAGGCAACCTCCATCATGCCTCCCTGTATCAATCCGGAACCCAGCTCTTGGAGCCTTTATTAACAATGGATCACGACAAAGGGGTCATGGAAAGAGTCCTAGATTTGATGCAGGCCTGCGCTGAAGTCCCAGTTATGTCCCTTACTTGCTGTGCAACCTCGGACAAGTCACTTTCCCTCTTTGAGACTCTGTCCTCATCTATAAAATGTAGTTTTGGAGTAAGGGAAAGAACATTCACTGGCTTAGGAATTCCGGGTTCAAATCCAGCTCTGTTACTTACTGCCTGTGTAAATTCGGACAAGTCATTTCTCTCCTCTGTGCCTTAGTTTCCTCATCCCTAAAATAAAAGGGATGGACTAGATCATGAATTCTTAACCCGGAGTCTGTGAACTTGTTTAAATTTTTTTTGTTGTTGTTAACTGCATTTCAGCACGATTGCTTCCCTTTGTAATCTCATATATTTTATTTTATGCATTTAGAAACATTATTCTGGTAAGAGGTCCATGGGCTTCACTGTAGTGTCAAAGAGGGACCCATGACACAGAACCCCAGGACTAGATGATCTTGGTTGTGCTCTGACTCTCCCTGAGAGAAAGGATGGGACTGGAGACTGGCTTTAAATTTCTGAGCCCATAGAGATGACACTTTAACTAGAACTGGAACTGGGATTGGGGTGGGGAGGGAATATAGAGGGGGAGAGGACGGTAGAGGCTGGCTGGGCCAGATCGGGGGTCATGTGTCGGGAGGTGAAGTCACCGAAGGCTGTGCTTCGGACCCGGCACAGGAGTGGAGCAGAGGAACAGAGGATGGAAAATAATCCTTCTTTGCTGGATTCCATGGCCAGACTACATTAATACATGCCCTCTAATGTGATCCAGCACTAAGGAAACCCAGAGGACAGTCACCTGAAGGGGTAGGAAATAGGATTCACATTTAAGCAACTACAAACTCGTTGACGAGAGGTGGAGGAGAGATTTTCTATCAGCAAAAACAACCCCCAGTCTCTTGGGTGCAGTTTCCTAACCAAGACTCTTTCAGGCTATCTTGAAAATTCGATGGCAGATTGGCAGCAGGTCTGTGCCTTCCCGGGCCAACCATAGCCAAGGGCTCTTCCCACGCTGCAGGGAAATAATCCTTTTCCTAGGTGCATCGGGGCATCCGGAGAGCTCAATGCCTATTTAAGTACTCCAGAGACAACCCTATCAGGCTGAAGTGAACAGAAGTGGGACAGATGGAAAAGAAAACCCAGTTTCAGTTTAAAATGGGGAGGTAAAAAAGGAATCCTGTGCTCCTACATTTGCATCTAAGAGGCAGCCTGGTGTGATAAGATCACTGGCTTTGGAATTGGTGCACACGAGTTTGAATCCAGAGTGGTTCCTCACTGAGAAAACCTTGGATAAATCCTTTCCCTCTTTGGATCTCATTTTCCTCATCTGTAAAATGGGGAGTGCAGAAAGGTTGGACTAAATGATCTGTAAGACATTTGGAAATTTAAATATAATGGTTTTGTTATATATAGTACTCAATCTTCCCTAGGAGTCAAAGCGCTTTCCTTATATCCTCACTAAGGAGTGGATGAAGACCAGCCCCGAGTTCCCATTTAATAAAGGATAGAAATTTTAGCACAGCAAAGCTTAAAGTGATATAACAATTCATTTGACAAAGCTAGGGAGATTGGTTTCTGGTCCTGTCTTCATTACAAATACATTTAAAACTTGTGCAAAAAAAAAAAGTCTTTCTTTTCTCTCACAGGAGCTGGTGATCTAACTGGGGACCCCATTGGGTATGTGACAGGTGTACTGGCAGTATTAGTTCATGCTGCTTATCTTGTGCTTATTCAGAAGACCAGTGCAGACTCTGAGCATGGAGCCCTCACAGCCCAGTATGCCATCGCCATCTCTGCCACGCCTCTACTTATCATTTGCTCCTTCGCCAGCATGGATTCTATCAATGCTTGGACCTTCCCAGGATGGAAAGATCCAACCATGGTCTGCATCTTTGTGGCTTGCATTTTGATTGGCTGCGCCATGAACTTTACTACACTCCACTGTACCTACATTAACTCTGCCGTGACCACTAGTTTTGTTGGAGTGGTGAAAAGCATAGCCACCATCACAGTGGGCATGGTGGCCTTCAATGATGTGGAGCCTACTTCTCTGTTCATAGCAGGTGTGGTGGTGAACACCTTTGGTTCTCTAATTTATTGTGTGGCCAAGTTCATTGAGACCAGAAAGCAAAGCAGTTATGAGGACCTGGAGAAAGACCATAGGGAAGATGTGCGGGAGACAAATGGCGCTCAACCACCATTTGTTATGGAGGCCCTGTCCTTGGAGAAAGGAAATGGTGAAATGGAAGGAGAAGAGACAGCCAGTGGCATCAGTCAGCCCTACACGGAAAAGCCTAAATGTGGTCTCGTGGAAACAGCACTGGTCTCCAGCCGCAGCCAGGAGGCTGAAGGAGTTAATAAGAACTCATTAAAAGATGCTTACCTTGGAGTGTGGAGATTGGTTAGGGGGACTAAATATGTGAAGAAAGATTATTTGTTAGAAAATGAGGAACTATCCAGCCCCTGAAAAAGAAATGTATGTATATTAAAATAATAATGATTATATATGTATACAATGTACATATAAACATACAAACATTTTATATATATGTATATGTTTTAAAAAGGAAGACAATATATTTTATTCCTAGTGGGGTAGGGAGCATACAGAAGAGGTTGGAAGGGATTGATACAATACAAGAAAACTAACCCCTATCTATATTATCTTCACTGAGATTCAAGGGTATGAAACTGATTAACAAAATAAGGCAGTTGCATTGGTTTTAGGTTCTTGACTATTAATATTTTTTATTCTCAGCTCCCCCCTCCCCCAGGCATCTATATTTTCTTCTATGTGCAGTCCAGAAATGAGGCACTTAATGGGAGAGTCAGGGCTAACAATTCTGTTAAAGTGGGAACTACAATCTTGCTAACCTGTTAGAAATGGGGGAAATGATAAAAATAAAATAAAATAAAATAAAAATGGCACTTGCTGCATGAAGGCCATGATTTGATAGACTATTTCTGGATATTTATAGATATCATGAAATCTCATGTTTGCTTTTTTGCCTAATTTTTTCTTCCCTCCTCTTCAAATAAATGATTGTATTGGATTTTTGTAGAGGAAGCAAGACACTTTTTGAAAATACTGATCCTAGACTTTTAAATGTGGAGTTTACAATTCACAGTTAGTAAATATAAAATTATTTTTATTGACAGAAACCTATTTATGACCTTTGCCTTGTAATGCTGGACCACTAAACACCAAATCCATTTTATATCGTTTTCATCGTGTTGGATATTCTGTGGAGTGAACACATTGGCTGGAATTCAATTCAATGGTGACTGAATCTCAGCCAGGCAAAATAAAAACCATCCTGGAGTATAGTCCTTTTACTCATTTAAAACCAAGCTCTGCAGCATCTTCAGTTGTGTTTATATTAGAATGCCGTTTTTCTAATATCAAATTTGAAAAAAAAAATCTGAAAACACAAGTACTGGTTTGTTGCTTTAACTATTACAATATTAGAAACTCAAATTTTCACAGTGTTTGCTGTTCAATGCTGCTATAATCATTTTGTATTTTTTGCTTTTAATATATGTGTATGGGCTGTCTAGTATGTAGGAGTCATGTTTGATAATTCTCAAAAGGAAAATGGGAATTTGATCAAAGCAGCCTGATTTTCCAGTGAGGGAGAATGTTGTAAACTAACATAAAACTGTGCCTCCTCTTGAGGCATATCATACTGTTAATAGAATTCGATGAACATGGAAATGGGATAATAAACAGGGTCATGCTTTGCAGAAATCTGGTTTTTTTTTTTCATTGTGTTGTCCATCATTTCAATCAGTCAAAAAACATTTGTTAGGCCTTTACTAATTCAATGCAATTCAGTTCAACCAGCATTTATTAAGTGCCTGTTATGTGCCAGGCATTGTCCTAGAAATACAAAGACAAAAAGGAAAACAAGTCTTGCCCTCAAGGAGCTTATATTCTACTTGGGGAAAGAATCTCTGCTTAGATAAATGAATACAAAATAGACACAAAGTAATTTTGAGGAGGACAGACAGTAGTAAGGAGATCAGAAAAGGTCTTGTGGGTAAAGGGACAATAGGGCTGAGTAAAGGATTCTGGTAAGGGAGGAAAAACATTAGAGGCATCCACATTCCATGCAAAGGTACAGTTGGACTGCCATGACTGGGGAACAGCAAGTAGTCTTGTTGGCCTGGAATGTGAAATTAGTCTGGAAAGATAGAATGGAGCCAGATTGTATAGGGCTTTCAATGGTGGCCTGTGTATTTAATTTTATCCTAGAGGCAACAGGGTGAATTAAGTTTTTGGATCAGTGGAGTGATATGACCAGACCTGTGCTTCAGGAATATTGATTTGGCAGCTCTGTTGAGGTCAAATTGGAGAGGAGGGAGGCTGGCTTTGAAGTTTAAATGAGATATGGTTCCAATCCAATCCAATGGGGCTTAGAGACTAATAGGTGTCTATGATGTACACACAGGTCTCTACATCACAAAACACTACTCTGTCAACAAAGAGAGATGGAAGGTCTGAGTGGGTGTCACTCCTGAAAGAATTAATCACAGAACACTTGTACTAGATTGCCATCTATGATATAACTGCTTGCATGTTGCTCACTAAATTATAGAATCATGGAATGTGAGAGGTCATCCCCTTCAATTCTTTCATTTTACTAAATTTTACTGATATCTTTTTACATCACAGTCATTTCAGGATATCCTTCAATGCTCACTAAATTATTCCTCATTACAAAGAAAAACATCTGAGCAAAACCAATAAATCAATGAATGCCTTCAAAGCATTCATTAAGTTGTTAGTGCCAAATACTCCCTTAAGTCTTGTGGATGAAATACAGCAGTGAGACAGTCCCTGGCCTCAAGGAGTTTACATTTAATAGGTGAAGACAACACCTGGGTATTGACCAGGAAAGGGTATTTTGGTCTGAGAAGTCATAGGGATGAGGAATGGAGCCAAAGGGGAGTCAATGGACCTACTCTTTCCAGAAGCAATAGTACAATTGATTTGATTATGCTTCCCAAAGCAAGAGATGGAAAACAAAGGAAAGAAAATAGTGGGATAAATGCATAACACAGATTGTCTGACAAGAAGATGACCAGCATGGATGACTGGGTGAACTGTCAAGTATGGTGTATATAGGATAGTCTGGGACTGGCTAGGTATGCTGGGTTCTATGAGTTGATGTCATTCACTGATTGGTGAGTGCCAATCAGGACAGAGTGTATCGAAAATTTGATATCTTTAGGTCTTTTCCTCACTATCATGGAATTGCTCCTCTCACACTGGAGACACACTGACGATGGTTGGTTGCGGCGGGTCATGTGACAGACAGGAGAGAGTGTGCAGTGGCAACCCACCAGCCAAGTTACATGGCGGGCACAGTAGTGATTAGTGGAAGGCGGGTTAAGTAGGGCATGGACAAAGCGCTCGTTACATCTTTACTTTCTTTTACATCCTCTACATTTTTCACTGGCCACCTGAAATCTTTTGGTGGGCTGCTTACAGCCTGCAGGCCATATTTTGTACAGGTCTGGTATAAACAGTTTAGTGACTTCTCTTGTATAATTCCCAATTGTTTTCCACAACAGTCCAATCAATTCACAGCTCTACCACCATTGGGTGAATGTGCCTGTTGTCCCACAGACCCTGCATTATTATTTCCATCTTTTCAGTCAGTCAGTAATCATCTATTAAATACCTACCATGTTTGAGGCTCTGTGCTAAGCACTGGAGATACAAAGAAAAGTGTAGTCTTTATCCTCAGGGAGCTCACAGTCTAATGGGAAAGACAACATGCAAACAATAATGTAGAAACAAGTTATGCACAGGATAAATACAGCACTAGAATTAAGAGGGATTGAGAAAGACTTCCTGGAGAAGGTGGGATTTTAGCTGGGGCCTGATGGAAGCCAGAGAAGTCAGAAGTCAGAGATTACCTTCTATCATAATCTTTGCCAATCGGATGCAACTCTTGTATTTCATAGATGAAGTAACTGAGGTGCGTAGAGATTGTGTGACTTGTCCAAGCTCACGCTGCTGTTTTAGGAGCAAAGTTGGCGGGTCATGTAACTTCTTGTCCAGTTTCCTGCACTATACTATTTCTTGGCTTTTTTTTTGCTGCTGGCCTGGATCTGAAAATAGTTTTGACCTGCCTCATCATCAATGTAACAGCCAATAATTGGTAGCACAGGGGAAAGCAAACATTTTCAAGGAGTTTGGTACAGAGCTCTTGAAACAGCTGTTGTTTGTTCTGCTGGAGAATAATGGTGATTATAAGTTTACTAATATGATTGACCACAAATGTCAGCATATTCTGGAAACCCTAAAACTGTGGCAGTAAGGCCTGTATTTAACTTTTATTTTTAAAGAACAAATATAGCACAGATAAGATTATGCTTCAGCCCTATAATTTTAGTCTAAGATGATAAGAAATTCTCATTCTGGCTATTTATAATGGAGCTGCCTTCCTACCTTTTAGTAGAGTCTGTTTTCCAAACTCTGTGCGTGTGTGTGTGTGTGTGTGTGTGTGTGTGTGTGTGTGTGTGTGTGTGTACTCTCCTGTGCTGAAGTCAGAATAGAATATTAAAGCCAGAGGGGACCTTAGGGATCATCTAGCCCAGCCCCCTCATTTACAGAAAGGGAAACTAAGTTCCAGAGAAAGAAAATGACTTACCCAAAGCTATAAACTCCAGTCTCCTTGAGTTTCAGGGTTTTTCCCCCTTTTTCTAATTACATAAGTAGGAAAGAGCACTTATGAAACTATAGCTAGAAATGGTTGGCAATAGCCTATAATGACTGCTTTTAAAATAAGCATTAATTTTAATGCTAACGTGCCATGGGGCAACACCTGCTATATGTCTATGAAGCGAAGAAAGAATAGAAAAAAGGAAAAGTTGAATCAGAGTGGTATATTTGTTTAATTCTGTTGGCAGTTCTGTAAAAACAGTACCAAACTTAAAATGATTATCTTTTTTTTTAAACACAAAACTTAAAATCCTGTGAATTGAAATTTGATGATTTTTACATTTTGGGGAGAAATTAACCCAATTTTTGGACATAGACTCATAATAACTAGAGTTTGGGAGCCAAAGGAATGAGCTAAAATCAGGAAGACAGAGACTTAATTCAGATGATCCTCAAGGTCAGAAAGTCAGGCATCATTATTCTAGGAATGGACACACAGGGACATGTCTGAAAGCAGGTCAGAAAACAAATCAATCCATGGGAGAAAGGACAGGTAGATCATGAGCACCATTGCCCAAGATCCTTACTGAATCTAAGACCTAGATTATTTAGCCAAATATTGTTGTTGCTGAGTCATGTCTGACTCTTCATGACCCTATTTGGGATTTTCTTGACAAAGATACTGGAATAGTTTGCCATTTCCTTCTCCAGCTCATTTTACAGCTGAAGCAAACAGGGTGAAGTGACTTGCCCAGGGTCACACAATTAGTAAGAGTCTGAGGCCAAATTTGAATTCAGGAAGATGAGTCTCCCTAACTCCAGGCCTGGTGTTATATTCACTGTACCGCCTTGGCACATAATGTCTTTGAGTTCTTCAAATTTTAATTTTTTTGGTAGGATGCAACAATAGTTCATTCCATTAATATATCATAATTTGTTCAGCCTGCCCTCTCAGTAGGGATTCATGTGATTTATTTGCTATTCCCAGAAACATTGCTATGAATATTTTGTCATAAATAGGGCCTTCTTTCTTTGACCTCCTTGGGGCATGTTCCAGGCAGTAGAATTGCTGGATCAAAGGAAGGTTATGAACAGTTCAGTGACTTTTCTTTTGTAATTCCAAATTGTTTTCCAGAACAGTTGGATCAATTCACAGCTTCACCAACATTGATTGAAGAAACTGAGACAAACAGGGTTAAGCTATTTGCCCTGGATCACACAGCTAGTAAGTGTCTGAGGCTAGATTTGAACTCAGGAAGGTGAGTCTTCCTGATTCCAGGCTTGGCTATCTATCCATTGTGCCACTGAGCTGCCCCATTTAGTCAAATAGGGATCCCAATAACAGAAAATGAGAGGAGGTCTAGGCAGGCAGTGAGTGGTAGGTGGGTGATTGGCAGGTCTGATATCAATTATCAAGACCTGGTGATTAATGTTAAAAGGCAAAGAACTCAATTACTAGAGTTGACTGGGTTCTCTTATCTAGGATGACTGGGTTCAAATTGTGTTCTGTCACTATCCACATTACCTTTGACAAATAACCTCTCCAAGTTTTGCTTGCTAGAGGGCTGGGATTTGGACTTTCCGGGTAACTCTTCATTCTTCTTCAGCAGCTCTGCTTGGCTTCAGCTCCATGGAATATCATGTCTGCTTTGGCTTCCCCTTGGAGCCACCCCACTCCCTGCTGCCTTCTCCCTTGAAATTGTAAGCTTCCTGAGAGCAGGGACTGTCTTTCTTTTTCTTATTTGTATCCTTAGCATTTAGCACGGTACCTGACACATCGTAGGGCTTAATAAATGTTTATTGAATTGTATTGAATTGATGCTCAATTTTTTAATCTGCAAAGGGGGGGCTAGTAATATTTATAATATTTATCTCACCAAGCTGTCACGATAATTAAATTAGATATTATATATAGAACTCTTTGTAATGGTAATGTAGATTTATAAGCTGTCATCATCATTATAGTATATATTATCATGATATATGATTACGTATTAATATTATATTAAATAATATATTATTGAGATACATCATATACAGAATATACACTATATAATATGATATATGATATATGG